AATAAAGTAAATTTCAGTTCACGAGAATTTACTAAATTAAAACCATATTTCAACAGTAGTCAAACTAATCATAAATAATGAAGTAGAGTAGAACTTCAAGGTCGAACTAAAATAAAAATGATAAAAAAATTTAACAATTTAAAAAAAACACTTTTGAACTTGTGCTAAAAATAAAATTCTTTTAATAAAAACATAAAAGAACCAATAACAGTTTATGTATAATAAAAGAAATGGCAAAAATAGAACTTAAAAACATATACATAAATAAAAAATTGAATTATATATATGCAAATATATTAATTCTAGTTTGTAAATACTAATTCCAATACATTCAACCAGGACTTTAGGATCATTCATAAATTAGTTATGCTCGAAAACATGTAAAAATCAATCCATATATTATAATGTATAATACATACCCGTATTATATATATATATATATATATATATATATATATATATATATATATATATATATATATATATATATATATATATATATATATATATATATATATATATATATATATATATATATATATATATATATATATATATATATATATATATATATATATATATATATATATATATATATATATATATATATATATATATATATATATATATATACAGGCTTGGTCGGGAAGCGGGTGCGATCGCACTCGATAATTGACCACGGAAAATATATTTACTTGCGAAAAGCCGGCCAGATTTTTCAGGCGTTTCGAGAACATTTAAGTTTATATATGTTTCCTTGTTTGTCCGCCAAAAAATAAACTTATTGTTTTATCGTAAATTTTAAAATATTTTGTTTTACGGACGTACATGGAAACTTATATAAACTTGAATGTTGTCAAACATCTTAGTGCGGAAAAATAAATAAAGAATATTCGCGAACACAAAAAACCCGCCAAATTTACGAACAACTAATTCTATTGATTCAATAAATAAATAACTGAAATTATTAAAGAATTCAAGCGAATATTCTAGAGTATTCTGTTGAATTATTTTTCAAAATCGTATAGTTTGAGTTTAGTTATGTTTTCGTTGAGATTTCTAGCATCAATTGCTTTAAGAAAATACAAGCGAACAATTATTTTAATACAGTGGCTCATTCTCGGAGTCACATCTACAAAGCTATAAATGTTTTAAACTAACATTTGTTTACAAAAATAAATGTTTTAAATTTATATTTTTAAACTTGTCAACGTTTTGTAAATATATTATAAATTTAATTAGTATAATCTTATTTTTTATATATAAGGGATGTATTTAAATGTAGTTAATGTATTAGAAATTGGTTTATTAACTTCAACTATTTTTGCTTCAGCCATTCTTACAAACTCGTTATACTTACACTTAAAGTTACTTTTTTCTGTAAAATACTAGTTAAAGATATAAAGCCCACTAACTAAACATCATCAGCGATATTGTTTAGGGCGTCCTATGATTCAACCGAATCTCTAATTTCAATTTAGAACTGAATATGAGAAATTTATTACACAACTGAAAATATTTACGAAAAAAATTAGAACCAAAAAAATTTCAATCGAATTTTCGATCGAAACTCATAAATGATTTTAGAACCGAAAAAATTTCAATCGAATTTTCGATCGAAAGTCATTAATGATTTGAGAACCGAATTTCATTAAAATGGTTTACAACCAAAAGTTACACTTAATTAATTACAATTAAGTGAGCGTTTTTAGAAAACGATGAGGGAAAACGAAGAATAATGAATAAAAAGGTTGCTGACCCATACCAAACCCTCAGTCAATGTAGCAGCACTCCACTGCGAGTCAGGCTATTTGTCAGTCGATGTATGTACTGAAGCCCCTAGCAGCAGGCTATTTGACGTTAGATAAGTATGACATCATCATGCTCACCTAACTCAGCAGTATATAATATATAATATATATATATATATATATATATATATATATATATATATATATATATATATATATATATATATATATATATATATATATTTTATATATATATATATATATATATATATATATATATATATATATATATATATATATATATATATATATATATATATATATATATATATATATATATATATATATATATATATATATATATATATATATATATATATTGTAAAACGACTAAATCAAAAAAAAAAAAAAAATAGATTAAAAAAAGAAAGGATTTTGTAATTCGATCCTGCAATGAAAGTATACTTTTCGGTTGTTAAATATTTCGGTGATATTTTCGAGGATAAATATTTTCGGCTCTATCGTGAGACACGATTATTAAGCAGTTCCGCTTCCTCCTTACAAAGTAATTAAACGTTTTTAGTTAATTTCTATCTAGCTAATTAAATTTCCACAGTAACTCAATGATTTAGTTATTTCATTTGTTTATCTTACTAAGAAGAATTGTTTCAAATATGTTAAACTTTTCAAACTAAGCGAAGCATAAAACAGGTACTGAGAAAACTTTATTTATTTATTATTAAATTATGTTGCGTTAGTTTAATTGGTTTAATCTTGTTGCACTTTACAGGGCCGGGGGCTGCATTATTTTGGTGACTTTTTTTATGTGCGACAGCGTAAAAATGACTTAAAAATATCGATAGGTCCTCTTGACTATTTCTCGGCTTAAAACATTGTGTGTCCCGGGACTATAGCTCTTCTACCCCACCTTATTTCCAGCACTGGAAATAAGTCATAAGTATATAAATAAAAATTATATATAATCTTTGATAAATTAAAGAACATTTGCTTCTTTATTAAACAACCATTATTAGTACGTTGTTACTATATACAAAAAATGTTGCTTTTTCTTAAAAAAAAAAAATTATTAAAGAGCGACGTTTCAAAAATATTTGCTCTAATCGTATTTATTTTGCTTAAAGTTTTTTCGCGTTAAAAGCTATTTTTCTTTTTTTAACTGTCTCTCATCGGTCCAGTTTAGCTTTTTTGCTTGTTTTTGAAATGTTCTTAAAACGCCTAAAAAATCTGGCCGGCTTTTCGCAACTAAATATAATTTCCGTGGTCAAATATCGAGTGCGATCGCACCCGCTTCCCGACCAAGCCTATATATATATATATATATATATATATATATATATATATATATATATATATATATATATATATATATATATATATATATATATATATATATATATATATATATATATATATATATATATATATATATATATATATATATAGCAGTGGCGTACCTACGGGAAGGGAGGGGGAAGGGCACACCGCCCCGGATGTCATCCATTTTTGGGTGACACCCAATTTATTAATATCTTATATTTTATTTTGGTTTATAAATAAACAGTCTTACATAAAAAAATAAGTGGGTATTTATTTACACGACCTACAAAATGCTGAATGCTGAAAGATATAGTTATCATTATTAAGAAAATATAATCGCTTAGCTTTCTTATTATTGTCGAAAACAAGGTTTAAAATTACATGTGTCAACGTTTTTTAATACTGCTTTAATAATTTCGTATATAAAAATAATTACATATAATATATGGGTGACACCCTATTTGCCGCCCCGGATGACACCATAACTAGGAACGCCACTGATATATATATATATATATATATATATATATATATATATATATATATATATATATATATATATATATATATATATATATATATATATATATATATATATATATATATATATATATATATATATATATATATATATATGGCTCATTCCATATCAAATCGCTTTATGGTCCCCAGACTACCATTTCAAATTTGCTTAAACATTTGACCAGCAGCAGTACCTAGCAAACATGTAAGCGTTGAATCAACGTTGAAAACCAGTCGCAGCGTAGAAAAAGCGTTACAGTCACAAAAACAACGTGCTTTCAACGTTGAATCAATGTCTGTTTTTGTATACTAAATCGCGGTAAATTGAAACGTTGAATAAGCGTTGAAATTGTAACGTAATTTAGCCTCTCAAAATAAAACGTTTATTCAACGTGGAATCAACTTACGCAAAAAGTCACTTTAAAAACGTTTCGAAGTATATTCTTTATCAACGTTAAAAACAAACCGCTTTTTAAACGTTACATTTTCAACATTGAATAAGCGTTTAAATTTAAACGTATCTTATCTTCTCAAAAAAATGCGTTTATTAAATGTTGAAAATAAGTACGCAAATAATCACTGTAAAAACGTCGCAAAGGTAATGGTTTATCAACGTTAGACATTAGCTGCTTTTTCAACGAATTTAAACTATTTGAAAAACAACACTTATTCAACGTTATTTCAACGTTGGTTGAAAATGTGGTAATAGGGTGGTGCTTAAAACAACTTTTTTGATAAAAACCTGCTGGTACCCCCTAAATGTGTTTTATCTAATACAAAAACACTAGGTTTAAAATTTTTTTGAACAAAAATTATTTTTAGGGGTAGCTCAAGGCCCTCAAAAATTTGACGGGTCCCTAATATTTTGAAAAAAAAACTTTTTCTAAAGTATGTCAACCTGGTACTCAAAAGAAGCGATATTGTATAAAAACTTCAAAAATAATAATCATTTTACATAAAAAACATGCCTAAAAAAAATTATTCTTAAAATACCTGAAAATATTGACTTTTTTTATTTTCAGCTTAAAAACAATAGTTTTTATGCATTTATACCTAAAAAAATTATTTTTATAAAAAATTATTTTCATTTTTAAATTTTTTATATAATTTTGCTTATTTTGAGTACCAGGTTGACATACTTTAGAAAAAGTTTTTTTTTCAAAATATTAGGGACCCGTCAAATTTTTGAGGGCCTTGAGCTACCCCTAAAAATATTTTTTGTTCAAAAAAATTTTAAACCTAGTGTTTTTGTATTAGATAAAACACATTTAGGGGGTACCAGCAGGTTTTTCTCAAAAAAGTTGTTTTAAGCACCACCCTAATGTGGTAATTAAAAAACGTTGAAAAAGTGTTACTTTGCCAACGTTAATAAAACGTTGTTTTGACAATGTTGAGGAAGTTACACATTAAAAATTATTGTCTCAATAACTAGCCATTACAAAAATAATTTGCCGTAATGGAAAGGCAAGGAAAACTTGATAGAATGCATACATATGGTATAAAAAATTGTTTAATAAAGTTACATTTTATAGCCTATTTTATTGCGACTAATTTAAAACTTTTAGATTTTATATCAAAATGTATATAAAGTACATAAATCTCAGGGTAAATTCGATTTATTTAGCTTATTTTTGTCAATGTTTTATTTTGTTTTAAGTTGACGAGTTTAATAAAATGCTCAACTTTTTTAAAAATTTATTTCTTAGTTAGAAATAGTACTTATATTTAATACGATTCACATTTATAAAATATTATCATAATAATTAAAACATATAAGTCAGACAAAATTAAGTTTGTTAAAAGAATAAATTTTTTAATTTATTTAAAAATTATCACTTATACATACATACATACATACATACATACATACATATATATATGTATATATATATATATATATATATATATATATATATATATATATATATATATATATATATATATATATATATATATACAAAAAAACCATCGTCATCACCAAGTTCTCTAAACCTATCATTTGCTAATATTTGTGGTCTTCGAAGTAACTTTTCTTCTGTTGAGTCTTATCTCTTGCAAAGTTCACCAGACCTACTTGCTCTTTGTGAGACTAATTTGAGTTCGGCTGTCCCATCTTGTGATCTTAGTGTTGATGGTTATCTTCCTTTAATTCGTAAAGACTCCAATAATCACATGCTTGGTCTGGGCATCTACATTCGTAAGAACTCACCCATTTGTCGTGAAACTAGGTTTGAATCTACAGACTATTCATTTATGTGCTTTCGTTTAGCACAACTTCACTCTATCGCCTTTCTCTTTGTTCTATATCGCTCTCCTTCATCCCAAGATTGCACTATTCTTGATGTTATTTCTGATCAAATTGACCAAGCCCTCTCTCTTTATCCATCGGCCAATATCGTCGTTGTTGGTGACTTTAATGCCCACCACACCGATTGGCTTGGCTCTTGTGTCAGTGACTCTGCTGGCGTTAAGGCCCTCAACTTTTGCCTTTCTCAATCTCTAACTCAAATAGTCAACTTTCCAACTCGTTTTCCAGACAACCCTAATCATTTACCTTCTCTACTCAACTTATGTCTTGTTTTGGATCCTAGTCAGTGCTCAATTTCTCCACATTCACCCTTAGGTACTTCTGATCACGGTTTGATCTCTCTAAAACTATTATCAAATTCTTCTACTTCATCAGAATCCCCCTATCATCGTACCACATACAACTACCTTAAAGCTGACTGGGACTCTTTCCGTGATTTTCTTCGTGATGGCCCTTGGGTAGAAATCTTTCGTCTTCCTGCTGACAAATGTGCTTCTTACATAACTTCGTGGATTCAGGCTGGCATGGAATCTTTTATTCCCTCTCGACGATTCCAGGTCAAGCCTCACTCTTCTCCTTGGTTTTCCTCACATTGCGCTGCAGCAATTTCTAATCGAAACTGTTACTTCCATATCTATCAGCAAAACAATTCTCCAGAAAACAGACATCTGTTCACTATCGCCAGAAACCATTGTAAAAAGGTTTTGTCTGACGCCAAAGCTCGCTATTCCCAGGTCATTAAATCTCGTATCTCATCACAAAAATTAGGCTCTCGAGACTTCTGGAGAATCTTTAACAGTATCAATAATAAGGGCAAATCTGTTATTCCTTCTCTCTTGCATGGTTCAGACTTTGTCACCTCACCTAAAGACAAAGCTGAATTGTTTGCTAAGAACTTTTCATCAATATCATCTCTTGATTCCACTAGTTGCGTTTTACCTGACATAGCCGTCAAACAGGTTGATCCCTTGCTTGACATTCGCATCACTTCAGCTTCTGTATCTAAAGTAATTTCTTGCTTAGACTCTTCAACAGCTTGTGGTCCTGACAACATTCCTGTTGTAGCCTTGCAGAGGTGTTCTCCTGAGCTTTCATCCATACTCTCTAAACTATTTAACAAGTGCTTATCAGAGTCTTGTTTTCCATCATGCTGGAAAGCAGCATCTGTTATCCCTATTTTCAAAAATTCCGGAGAGCGATCTGATTCATCTAACTACCGTCCCATTAGTCTTCTTCCTGTCATAAGCAAGGTTTTTGAATCTTTAATCAACAAACACTTAATCTCTCATCTTGAATCAAATAACTTACTTTCTGATCATCAATATGGATTTCGGTCTTCTCGTTCTACAGCTGATGTGCTAACAGTAATAACCGATAGGTTTTACCGTGCATTAGATAGAGGTGGAGAGGTTAAGGCTATCGCACTTGACATTTCTAAAGCTTTTGATAAAGTTTGGCATGCTGGTCTTCTCCATAAGCTTTCTTCTTATGGTGTAGCTGGCAACGTCTTTAAGATTATTGAGTCCTTTCTTTCCAATCGTAGTATAAAAGTTGTCCTCGATGGACAACACTCTTCTTCACATCCTGTAACTTCAGGGGTTCCTCAAGGTTCAATCCTTGGCCCTATACTCTTTTTAATTTACATTAACGATCTTCCAGGTATTCTCACATCTAAGGTGGCATTATTCGCCGACGACACTACCATTTACTCTTGTCATGATAAGAAGCCTTCACTCTCTGATTGCTTGGAGGGGGTATCTGAGCTTGAAAAGGATCTCACTTCTGCTACAGCATGGGGCTCACAGTGGCTGGTGAACTTTAATTCAGATAAAACTCAATTTTATTCGGCCAATCGTTATCGTAATAATTTAGATCTTCCTATATTTATGAATGGTAATGTACTAGATGAGTCATCTACCATTCATCTTCTAGGATTAACTCTTACTTCTGATCTTTCTTTTAAACCGTATATCAAATCCATTGCAAAATTAGCATCTGCTAAGGTTGCATCTCTTTATCGAGCTCGACACTTTCTTACTCCAGATTCTATTCTCTATCTCTATAAATCTCAAATCCGTCCCTGTATGGAATACTGTTGCCACATCTGGGGCGGATCTTCTAATGATGCTCTTTCTCTTTTAGACAAGGTGCAAAAACGAATTGTAAACATAGTTGGACCTGCTCTGGCAGCCAATCTCCAACCTTTGTCACATCGTCGTAATGTTGCTTCTCTTTCTCTTTTCTACAAATACTATAATAGGCACTGCTCTAAAGAGCTAGCGTCCCTTGTGCCATCTACTAAAATTCATTCTCGTGTTACTCGCCATTCAATTAAGTCTCATCCTTTTTCTGTGACTGTTCCTAAGTGCTTCAAAAACTCTTATTCTTCTAGTTTTTTTCCTCGAACATCAGTTCTTTGGAATTCGCTTCCTTCATCTTGCTTTCCTGATTCATATAATTTGCAATCTTTTAAGTCATCAGTCAATCGTTATCTTGCTCTACAGATTTAGTCTTTTCTCTTCCAGTAACTTCCAACTCTTATAGTGGTTGCTTGCAGCCTTGTTGGAAGTGAAGATGTTAAAAAAAAAATATATATATATATATATATATATATATATATATATATATATATATATATATATATTATATATATATATATATGTGTGTAAATATATATATATATATATATATATATATATATATATATATATATATATATATATATATATGTGTGTAAATAATGTATATATAAAGATTTATATATACATTATTTACATATACATTAGGTTTGAAGCAGAGGCAGTTGCTCCATCTTGTTCGAAAAAAGATGGATGGTTATTTTGGCCGACTTGTGTTCATGCAATGAAAGCTACCTATAATAATTTTTCAACCATTGACTCCTGCAACAAGCTTAGACTTAAAAGAGTTAATGTAACTGGAGGTCATTAAATTTTACAGTAATTAATGCTATTATAGTTTTATATTAACGGTGAAGTATTATATCAAATAAACTATTTTTTTTTTTTTGGAATAAGTAATATTTTGAATCTGTTTATGGTATTATTACTGCCTAGATAAAAATTGTAATCTGTTTACACTTAATCTACATTTTTGTTTTTACATAATTTTGTTTATATTTATTTTACTAAATAATTACTAATAGATAAAGAAGTATGTGCAGGATTTAATTTCACGACTAAAGAGGACTCCGAAGAAGAATGTAAGTAGTTATGTTTGTGAATAATTTTGTTTCTCTTCGGATTTAACTTTTCTTTGTTTTTTTACATAGTAAAGAATAGAAAAAAATCTAATATTAACTATTGTTCAAAGCTGATTTCAATAATACTGTTAAAATTTTTTGACTTGTGGTAGTTTGATTACCAGTATAAGTTTATTTGGTAAAGTTCTGGTGGAACAAAGATCGAGGAATGATTTGGTTTTAACTGTTTTGCATCTTATGAACAAAGTACATAATATGATTTAAATTGATGATTTATAGTTACACCTATTAAAGTAAGTTTTATTTAGTTAATTAATGTATGGATACATGACTATTTTTAATTGCAAAATTTATATGTATATATATATATATATATATATATATATGTGTGTGTGTGTGTGTATATATTTATGTATATATATATATATATATATATATATATATATATATATATATATATATATATATATATATATATATATATATATATATATATATATATATATATATATATATATATATATATATATATATATATGTATATATATATATATATATATATATATATATATATATATATATATATATATATTTATGTGTGTATATATATATATATATATATATATATATATATATATATATATATATATATATATATATATATATATATATATATATATATATATATACATATGTATATATATAGAGAGAGAAAATTTGAATTAGTGCCAGTTCGAATAACCGTAAATTTAGTATATATATATATATATATATATATATATATATATATATATATATATATATATATATATATATATAAATATATATATATATATATATATATATATATATATATATATATATATATATATGTATATATATATATATATAAATATATATGTATATAAATATATATATATATATATATATATATATATATATATATATATATATATATATATATATATATATATATATATATGTATATATATATATATATATATATATATATATATATATATATATATATATATATATATATATATATATATATATATATATATATATATTTATTATTGTTATTATTATATAATATATTATAACAATTATAGGGTTTTTATTTGTCAATATAGGAATACCAACAATATTGCAATATTTTAATGTAGCAAATAAATGAATTTTGTTGTCTAACAAAAATTGTGGATTTTGGATACAGAATTTAAATCCATAAGACACAGCAAGCCTTAGGTTATTACAGAAGAGAGATCAGATTTAATCTTTGCTGCTTGTTCTAAGCACTTAAAAAGTAAAGATTTATTGTCACACAAAAGTATAAAGTGGAGTCATCAGCAAATAGAGCCACTTTAGATTTCATTATGATTGTTATTGTGGATAAAAAATATTACAGGAACAAATATAGAATTTTAAATTTACTTGAAGTAAAGAGGGTAAGCCTTTAAGAATAACTTCACTACTGTAGTTAGAAAGAAGTAATTTAATTACCTCAAAACCTTTTCATTGAAAATTATAAGAAACTATTGACAAAGTGAAGAAGAATCGTAGGACACTTGGAGAGGTCAAAGTGTTTTCTAGAGATTTGAAAAATAGGAACCACGTATTTAGCACTTTTTTAAAGTTTAGCAAAAGTTGTATATAGTTCTGGAGAACACTTTTTTAAGACTATGATGGAAATCTTGTCTGAAGCACGCATTGTAGATGTGTTTAATTGAGAATTAGTTTTAGTATTGGAAACTAGAGTAATTTCGATGTTTAACAATGGATTAATTGAAAGTTTAGCAAAAATATTTTACTGTCAGGAAGAGTATGGCCGTTATATTCCATAAATATAACGGCCATACTATATATAAATATATAGATTTTCTTGTAAATAGCTCTGCTTTACTCTGGAGTAAAGTAAAAAGATGAGACCCATAAGATAGAGATTAAACGTCAGACTTACTTTAGTTAATAACACTGTTAAAAACTAACAAAAAGTCTCTAGAATCAACATCTAAGATAAGATATAAGGTTTAGTAAACTGAGAATAACAGAAATTTACATCAGACAAGACTTTATTTATACATTAGCTTATTGCAATAATAATAAGGACAATTTTTTCTTAAGAGAGATGTTCTTATAAAAAAAACTGAAAAACATAGTTAATGTTGAAAGATGTAGAGTAGAATGAGGCTTGATTTAAAACTGAAGAGAAGTAATAAAAGCTTTCAAACTTTTATTCCAGAAGCAATATAAGCTTCCAAGATGCACTTTTTGCACACATATTATGGATATAAGCATATTTGTTTGCTATTTGTTTAAATGCTGGCATACAATATCCTTTCATTGATGTATAAACTTTAGTATTTATATAGTGTAGTATTTTTTAGAAAAAGTTAAAGTAATTCAGGTATTAACATGTAGAGTGGTAGCAGCTTCAGTATAAAATGATTGTGGTAGATGTAAGAAAATTTGAAGAGTGTGCTTTACATAGTGCCATAATAAAGATGATGATGATTATCATGATGACGATCAACAACATCAACATAATTTTTATTATCATTGTCAAGCCTTCCGCTTTTATGCTGTTGATGATCATGATGATTATGATGATGATGATGGTTATGATGATCATGTTGATCACAATGATGTTCATATATGCATATATATACAAAATATAGCATGAATTTAAATTTAAAAAATATACTTTAGGATGTATAAATGTTTACGCAGCCTGGTCTCATACCCGGCCCTGGCCCCGGCTATATTTTATCAAACCCGGCCCCGGCCCTAATCAAATATCAACCCCAGTTATTTACTACAAAACATTTCAAGAATAAAAAACGTTGTGTTATTTTTAAAAACAATTACTTATTTTATGCTATTACGACTATCACAATATATATATATATATATATATATATATATATATATATATATATATATATATATATATATATATATATATATATATATATATATATATACATGTATATATAATTTATATATATATATATATATATATATATATATATATATATATATATATATATATATATATATATATATATATATATATATATATATAATTTATATATATATATTTATTTTTATTTTTTAAAATTAATAATAATCATACTAATTCAATAACATTTTTTAAACATTTGCTTTCAGATTGATAATGATACAAGTTTTATTTTTTGATTTAGATTCTGTATCTCAATGATATCCTGGCTTATCGATACGATATTCTGTAAATCCACTCACATACAAGTTTTACTTACACACGTAATTCCTGTAAATTCACTCACACACATAAATCTCAAAAAAGATGTTTTTATTTTTATCTATAAATTATAAATTTTATATAAATAAATTGTATATTTTTTATGTTTTTCATTGTATATTACTATTTGTATAAAATTCGACTTTGGAAATATTGCAAGTGCAGAGTTCAACATTCAATTTTGTTTTATTTGCAAATTCTATATACATTATAACCAAGTTTAATCACGTTTAATAATGTTTTGCGATATTTTCTCCAGCGCATTTGAGCGTTAATTTAACATTATATTTCAACCTTTACTCGACGTCTTTGAGTCACGTTAAATCGACGTTTTACTACCAACGTAACAAATCCTTGCAAAATCAACTGCTTTAACAACGTTAAAGTAACGCTTTTCAAGTAACGTTTTTTCAACGTTAAGTTGCGGCGCCTATGCAACGCTTTTTAAGTAACGCTTTTTCAACGTTTAGTTGAGACATTTTTGTAACATCTTTTAGTAACGTTTTTTCAACGTTACGCTACAACGTTTAATGAACGTCTCTTTAACAACGTCACATATCTTTGCAAAATCGATTACTTTGTCAACGTTTCCGCAACATCTTTTGCGACCGGTTTTCAACGTTGATTCAACGCTGACATGTTTGCTGGGTATTTATGAAAAAAATACAAACTTCTAAATTTCAGCTTGATTGGCCAAACTGTTTAAAAGTTGATTGATTTAATATTGACAAAAATGAGAAAAATTTAAGTACCTGGATCTATCAGTAGCTTTTTTTTGATGATGCAAAGAAGTGATTGAATTTTAATTTTTGTTCTGTAACACAGCACCATCACTAAAGTATTTACAAGAAAGTACCATAGTTAACATAGTACCATAATAATAATAATTACCATAGTACCATAGATGCCATAGATACCAAATAAACTTCATTTATTTAACAAACAGAGCATAAAGCTATCACCATAGATAAAATTGGATTTAAAATTTTGAAAAAAAAAGATGGGTTTATTTAAAGCTACTCGTGCAAGGCCTAAAAATTGTTGTTAACTATGAAACCAACATCAGTGGAGACAGAACGAGCTTTTTCAGGCATGGAATTTTTTGCCACTAAAATAAAAAATAGATTAGATGATACCCACTGTACTAATTCTAATGAGTCGTTCTACAAAAAACTTAAAAAAATGTAGTTTAAAGATAAAAGTTATAATACTTTCTCATTACCTATTACCCAGGTAAATATTGTTGGCTGGGTAATGGAAACACTGAAGTGTATCTTGTAGGAAGGCCTTATTTTAAAGCATTTAGCGTAAAGCAATTTAAGTGATTTTTACATAACCAGTAAGCCATTTCGATTAAGCAACTTTTTATCAATTTTTAACTATTAAATTATACTATAAGTGGTAAGATAAAAAAAGTAATTATTCAAAAAAAAAAAAAAAAAAAAAAACATTAACTTTTGAATGACATTTATGTAAAAATATTTGTTACAAAAGTTTGAATGACACAACTTTTACATGACTTAATTTAAAACTAATTTGATAAAAATATATAACTTTATTCTGATAAAAAAAACATATATAATTTAATTTAGCTTTAGAAAAAATATAATTTAATTTTGATTTAAAAGATATTTGTAAGTTTATTAAAATTTAAAGTTAATGGCTTGGATTTAACTTAACTATCTAACCTATTTAAAAATATTACTAAATATTTTTTTTATAACGTATGTAATTTTAATAAAATGATAAACTAATAAACTTTAAATAAATTAAATAAATTTTTTAAAATAAAATCATTTGTAGTTGCAAAGCCGCAATTAGAAATTTAAGAAATAATCATTTTATAAACTGAAAAATTTAACATATTAAATTTAACAATTCATTTATGCAAATGTCGAGAAAAAAAGAAATTTGTTAATATCAAACTTTTATAAAAATGCAATATTAAATTTAATTATTGAAAATAATTAAAAAAATAAGCATTCCCTTAAAGTATTAAAAAAAGCCGTTAAATAACATTTAATTTGTTTTGCGGTAATTAAAATTATTAAATAAACCCGCTAACTGCAGTTAGCGGGTTTATTTAATAATTTATATAATAAAATAGTATATTATGTAAAATATACATAATATAAATGCATAGTTATATTATAGTATATATATATATATATATATATATATATATTATATATATATATATATATATATATATATATATATATATATATATATATATATATATATATATATATATATATATATATATATACTGAAATAAATATACAATTGCAGGTGCTTAGCTAAAAAATGTTAATCGGAAGAAGCAAAAGTGGATGGCGTGGTGCCAGTAAGATGGTATCGATATGATCTAGTCTCAATTAAGTCAGTCGCAAGCAAGTGTTTAAAAAAGGTTTGACCATTTATTTTTAGACTAATTTTTTAATGTAATGTGCTTGAAGAACGTTGTTTATTACATATTAAATTAAGATATTTATTTTCAGACGAAAAATTAAACCTGTCAACAATTTCTCTCTATATTTACTTGTTCAAGTGCCAGTGAAACGAATGATAAAAAAAAAGAAGCATTCAGTAGGCTTGCAATTTTTTTTTTTTAATATATTTTTAAATGATCTGAATAATTTTGTTGTTTTTATTTAGTTGAATGATGAAATTGTTTATACAAATGATTGGCTCTTCAACTTTTATGTTAAATATGTTATTTCCTTGTTAACTGTTGTCAGTCATAATAAAAATACACATAATGACAACAGATTTATCTTTAGAAATGTTCTCAAATTTTTCGGTTCGGATACAAAAAAAACAAGTGAAAATGATACTGGAAAGGTACACTTTATTATATCTAAACATCATTGCAGCTTTCTAGTTTTCATTTTTGTTTATATGTATTTCATTTGTGTTGCTAATGATATCGCCAGCTTTTATGATTTTATATTGTTACGTAAAGCATTTTTATGTTTCAGGCTAAAATAGAGCTTTGACTAATACTTTTTTCTAGTTTAAATGAATAACAACTCTCAAGGTGTATCAGCTAAATTATCTTTTCGTTTTGATAGTCTTTAGTCAACAACGGATTTTTAAATTGTTATGAGTCTACAACACTTAATTTCAGCGAAATTCAATTAAAAAGTCATGTTATAGAAGACAGAAAAGTATCAATATCTGCTTTCAATAACTTGGCTTTCATAGCAAATCTGAGAGGTGCAAATGTTTAGCTTGATTTAAGTACTACATAATAGAATACATTGTTGTACATTCATTTTGGTGGTTGTAAATTTATTTAGCACACTCATTTTTATATATTTTTAGACTGTTTACCGTAACTCCTGTCCTAATCTAACTTAGTGGGTTCAAAAAGAAGGGACCGCGCTGGAAACATGAGTGAATTAAAAGGATCAGCCCTTTTTGAACTAATAGTCGGTAAGTATAATGTGCTCCACTCAGCTAATCAAGTTTCGTTTGCTTTTTTTGTATTACATTTAAGCAATAGACAGTTTTTTATGTTCACTCGTTTTTTAGAAGTGGTAACTAGCTAGAAGTCGTAACCTGCTCGTATGAAAGGATTTCTCGACGTGAAATTGTTAATTTTATTCAACAACGCCAAGAAACAGAGCTCGCTCAAAAAACAGAAAAGAAAGAGGAAGATGAAAAAATATTCTGTTGAACAATACTATTGTTTTATTTATAAATTATTCTCCTATATTTAAATATATAAAAGATGTAGAAAATGCTTCCTCTTTTATATTGACATCTAAAAGAGGTTTTTTTCTCGGCATCGGAAAAAGCTTTTTGTCATACTTTGTATGAAGAGCTATTATTATTTTCATTTGAAAAAAATAGCTTTTCATATATGAAAAGTAGGAATACTATAGTGTATAGGATACTATAGTATACTAATAAGTAAGGCAAAAAAGTCGTTCCGACCCCGAGTAAAAACACTTTTTTAGATTTGCATATTCGACTAAAAAAGGGCATCTTAAAGGCGCATTTTTTATGTCTTTTCATGACTATATTAAGATAAAAAAGACTTCTTTTCGATGTCGAAAAAAGATGTCTTTTAGATTTGCATAATCGATTAAAAAAAGACGTCTTAAAGACATCGTAAATAAGACTTTTAAAGACGTCTTTTCGACGTCTCTTTTCCCACTAGGATATAAATACATTGTTCTTTTTTAGAAGTTTTTATTTAAAGTTATTTTTACTTCAGATCTCTTTAACTACTCTTTCCACCAGGCTCAAATGAAATAAAAACCATTGAAAACAAATTAAAAACCATACCTTTTATTATTTTTTGACTTTTTCTTTAAAGGTTTTTAATTTTTAAACCTAAAATTTTAAAACTTTTGTGTGGCATCTTTTAAAACCTTTATGAGGTTCTATCTTTTGAGTGCCAAAATATATTTTGATAAAATTTGAAATTAAAGTTTATGATTGCATAGAAGATAAAAAAAAATTTTTTCAAAAATTATTTTTCCTCAACCAGGGGGATTTAGCGAGAATTTTTTAATGGTATTTTAACTCCAGTTTTCAAATCACGTGGTTTGTATTTCAAATCAAAGTTATTTTTGTTTAGAGACTAGCATAGTGTAAGTAGCATTGTAATATTATTATATTGCTACTTACATCATTAACTTTATTACATCATCAACTTTATTACATCATCAACTTTATTACATCATCAACTTTATTACATCATCAACTTTATTACATCATCAACTTTATTACATCATCAACTTTATTACATCATCAACTTTATTACATCATCAACTTTATTACATCATCAACTTTATTACATCATCAACTTTATTACATCATCAACTTTATTACATTATCAACTTTATTACATCATCAACTTTATTACATCATCAACTTTATTACATCATCAACTTTATTACATTATTAATTTTATTACATCATCAATTTTATTACCTTTATTTGATTTTAAAAACCTTTCAGCATTAAATAGACTGCGCGACATAATAATAAGACACCCCAAAAATATTTATAAAACTCTAATATACATTTATATTTAAAAAAACTAATTTTTATTGTAACCCAGCCGGCACAACTTAGAAAATAGTTACGCTTGGTTTCTGTTGCGTTTTTAAAACCTTCTAAAACAAAAAGAATAACACGTATCCTAAATGGTTTTTATTCCGTGAAATTAACTATTACTATTTACCATAAAAAGCAGTTAAAGTATTAATGGTTTCACCGTTATGGAAACGTAGTATTATATTTTAATAACTTTCCGTAAGGAATGTGAAACCACTGATAAAAACATGCAACATTAAAATTTGACTTTAAAACCCCCCAAAAAAAACACGTTTTAAACTCTAGTAAAACTGCCCGTAAAAAACGCGTGCTTTTGGTATACGCCTGGATCGTGAAAAACACGTGCCTATATAGGTTTTATTTCCGAAAAAGAAACTAGATGTGCCGATCGGGAAATGAAAGCAAAGGGTTTACAACACTAAACAACATTTTAACAAATTTATTTTAAACGTAACTCGCATTTTATAAAAAAAAAAAAAAACTTTTTTTCAGTGCGAAAAAATTATAAGACAGTTTTACAAAAAATGTTTTATTTGCAAACCGCAGTTGTGGGCAATTAAGAATATTTATTTGATGTAAACACCACAGACGATTATTTAACTGTAAACATTTGTGAACTGTGAAAAATTTAGTTTAGTATTCTTTTTATTAAGTATAAAATAACAAATTAATTAATAATGGGTCGTGCTGCATCGTTGAGTCCAGATGAGAAAAAAGTGCTCTTTAACTTATTGAAAATGGGTCAATCCGTTAATTACATGGTAGAAGCTATTGGACACAGCCGAACTGTGATTAAAAACTACGTTTATAGTCCTCATATGTGTGTAATAAAATAAAGTTCCGGACGTCCATCAACATTAAATGACCGTGATAAGCGAAGATTGTTAAGACAAGCTTCAAATTTTTTATTAACTGCACGTCAAATTGCTGCAGAAGCAGGTGTGATTGCTATTTTACGTACATTTCAGCGAGTTATTCATAATGCTTTTCACCTTTTGCGCAAAAACCTCAGCAAAAACCACCTTTGACAACAAATCACATAAACAATCTAATAACCTTTGCAAAGGACCATCGAAAGAAGAATGGAAACAAGTAGTATTTTCTGACAAGAAACGATTTTGTCTTAATGGGCTAGATAGATGGAATTATTATTTTCACGATTTGTGTAAAGAACCAGTAACACATCAACAACATCAAATGGACGGTGGTGGTATAATGATTTGGTTTGCAATTGGGTATCATGGTAAATCAAAAATTAATTTTATTGACGGTAAAATGAAGGCTAAGGTTTATCTTTTAACTGTTCAAGAATTTTTAAGACGTTAAGCATCTGTAATAAGTAGCAAAAATTTTGTTTTTCAACAAAATAATGCTAGCGTTTATACAGCTAAGATAGTACAGGAGTACGGAGTAAGGAGTAACGGAGTACGGCAGAAGTACGGAGTAACGGAGTACAGCAGTAAAATTGAAATACTGAAGTGGCCAGCTAGATCTCCAGACCTAAACATTATTGAGAATGGTGGGGCACAGGTGTTACATATAGTGTTTGAAGGTGGTAAACAATATAGTTCACTAGCTGACTTGAAATCATTCATTGCATCTGCATGGGATACAATTGACATTTCGTACATAAAAAAGTTGTATAATTTTTTACCTTCTAAAATGATTGAAGTGATTAAAAAAATGGTAAAAGTACCCTCTATTGATTGTTTAAAATTGAGACTTTTTTTTTTATAAATGACATTTTATATTAATTTTTTCCGAAAGTGTCTTATAACTTTGTCGCACTAAAAAAACAGTTTTTTTTTAATAAAATTCGAGTTAGGGTTAAATTAATTTTTTTTTAAATGTTGTTTAGTTTTGTAATCCTTTTCCTCTCATTTACTATAAAAATTAGTTTTTAAATATAAATGTAAATTAGAGTTTTATAAATATTTTTGGGGTGTTATCATTATGTTGCGCAGTGTAGTTCCTTTTCATAAAACTTATTATTTTCCATAATATCATTATTAAAGGCGAGTTTCCACTCATCCGTTTTTTCACGGGAACGGGAAAGGGAAGGGAAAAATAATCACGTGGGCATGCGTATTATAAGTTTTAATTTGTCCGAAGTAAAACTACGCATGCTCACGTGATTATTTTTCCCTTTCCTATCCCGTTCCCGTAAAAAAACGGATGAGTGGAAACTCACCTTTAGCGGTTAAGTATAATTCGTTTTGCTGTTTTTGACTTTTAAAGCCAAACTTGGGCCCGTATTAACAAACGCAGGGTTGAAAAAATTAGATATTAAATAATCATTAGTAATTTCACAATAATTTATAATGAGTTTCTTGAGAATTCCAATTGTGACTATACATTTTTAACTATAATCTCTTTCATTACACGGCGATTTTTTTTGCGTTAAAAATTCCCATAGCTTTTATAAGTAATATGAAATTTGGTCAACTTTTTAATTTTTATGAAAAGTTGCAAAAAATTACCATCTTTATCATTGAATTAGGGCTATTGATATATATTTATGTATTTTTGTATATTACGTATTTTTAAGTGTAAACCATGTGTTTTTTTATAAAATCTGCTTTTTAAAAGCTATATTGATATTGAAATTCAATTTATTTAAAAAACTAGTACTAAAACTAGAATTAATCAGCTAAATAGACTAAATTACGGTTTCTCTAACTATCAATGTTATTACTTTTAAAGATAAACTTCAATTGGATCTCAAGTTACAGTTTACAACTATATGTCTAAATTACAGTTAAATAGTATTTTTAAACAAAATACACACCTGTCCATTTATTTCATTAATAAACCTCTGTATTTTAATGAAATAAGTATATATATTTACGACATCAGTCATCAGAAGGTATATGTTGTAAACTGTAATTTTAGATATACACATTATGAACCCATGTGTGAATTTTTAGATCATAAGATGCATCATGGATGGAGTCTATCCACGAGTTTGATAGTAAGTTATTTTATCGGTAAAAAGATAGTTCAGAAACCATTATGAATTTTTTAATAGGTTATTCGGAGAAAATTAAATTACTTGGCGCGTAAAAATAAAATAAACTATTTTCGTTAAATCCGTATCCGAAAATTTCGTAAATCCATAGCAAGTGGAAGAGAACCCGGTGGGAAATCGGCTAGCGAATAGCTAGTTATAATCGTTACGGTAAAGGCAGCGGTTTGGCCACGAGGATTGCAAGCTTTTTAAAGTTAACGAAAAGCTATCGATATATGTAAAGATAAAGACACCGATTTGGCTACGAGGACAGCTAGCTTAATAAGCTAAAGACTCACAGGCTTTTGTAGCTACAGTCATATCGTAATAAAATCGCTATCAAAAAAATTTTGGTATGTAGCTATCAACCAGCTATAGATTTATAGATATTTTGTAGCTAGCTACAAAGCTACTATATCTAGCTAGCGACACATTGCTACAAAATCGCAATGTTTAAAGTTCAATTATTCTCATAATTATAATAGATTCAGCACTAAAAATCGAATTTTAAAGATGTTAGAGACATTAGTAAAGAATAAAATAAGAAAAAAAAAATCGCTTGAAAATCGCTATAAAGC